TAGCGTCCCTGCCGGCATGGTTTGGCACAGTGGGCAGTGAACATGGTGTAAAACATTTTGTAGATTTTTTCCTATCCAGGGGTACAGTATGAACAATGGAGGTCCATTGGCATTCAACTTAAGGCAATTAGAAAACAATGAGGACTGACAAATTAGAATCAATCAAATTCAGACTTGTAACTAGACCTTTATTAGTCAGTTACTTCATTTTAGTTAATTAAAGTTAGAGACATTCAACTGAAAGGTAAGTTATTCATATCTTTTAGATCGTGAGAAGCTCATTACTGAGCATGCTATTGCTTGGAATCAAAGAAAAATCAATGGCATGGCACAGAGTCTGTCAAGACGATACACACAGGTCAGTATTTATGCAATATTACTATTGCTAAATAGCTATTAAACAGACAAAATTATGTTACCACTTGTACTCACGCTTTATCTTATTTAGACTCGTCCAAACAGCGTGCACACCCCCGCAAAAAGATTTCTTCAAACAAGAATAAGCAGTCTTCCCTAGTAGATAAGTACAATCAAGAGAAAGAAGGCAATGAAGCTTTGCAAGCTACTGTCTCTGAAGTTATGAAGGGGAATTTCCCATGGGGAAACACAACAGGTAAACTTTGTGAATTTTAGTACTCAATTCAACTTGTCTCTTTTGTTGAGTATTTCAGCTTGTAGCTGTCATTTTTGTTCTAAGTATATTTTCATTCTCTCATTGATAAAGTACAACTACATAAATGATAAAGTACAAGTACATTGTACAACTTACTAATTTTATATAAGATAAGACATACTTGTGATAGGGGGTAGCTTAGTAGCTACGGTCATTGTGTTGGTGTCTTAAGAAAGACACTATGCTCCAGCAAGAAAATTGTACCAGCAAACTGTTCACAACTTCTAATAGATCAGGCCTCTTCCGAGGTGTTGAGTTTTTTCCTACTTCTGTCTAACCTGAGCACGCAGGACATTAAAATCAAGAACAACAACAACAACAGCAACAACAGCTTTTAAAACGTTATTTTGCAAATAGTAAATGCTAAACTAGGCGGGCTATTGATTGCTTATGCATAAAACTAGATCAATCAAATAACATTAATAACAATTAAGATTTAGTTACATGTAATATTATTATAATAGTTTCTGCATATTAAGATTGCTAAAACAAAATGAGGGGAGAATAATGAGAGAAGACACTGATTTTAATTACTTAAAGTTTCCTGTTCTTGAATAATCTCGTGTTTAATAAGAAAGGTATTTTCTTTGTCCAGCATTCTTGGTTATTCATTTTTAATTCTAGCTTTGAAAGACTTTTTGGGTAGCTCTCTAAGATTGCGTGGTATGTCATTCCAACAACTGGCACCAGTTATTAAGAATGCATTGTTTTTGTAATTCAAGTCAGTTTTCATTCGTCCATATAGGTACACCAATGAGAATCAAGAAAGTCATCGTTGAAAAACATGAAGTGATCACGAGATGGGATGAAGAAATTACTCGTAAAAAATGAGATGGCAAACTTTGTAGCGTTCTACATGGATGTTACTATTCCTCGGCTTGAAAGGATTGTTGTGGAGTTACAGGATAAGTT